CAGCTCAACGAATTTGTTGAGACAACCATAAGCAGACATAGAGATAAATCTTAAACTAACCTTTCCCCACCCAAAACACAGACACCGCAAGTTCTGGTAGGTGTTAAGAGATTAAAGCAATACCAGCCTCACATTCTAAACTTAAATCAGACTCACATTGACACCAGCTAACGTAGCATCCTTCTTCGTTGGGTCTATGTGTTTGTTGGGAAGAATCCTATGTCTGTGCTAGAAAACAGATGATTAGCGCCTTCATGCAGACATACCGAACTTGGGAATTTGATGACATGTGCAGGCTTGTTCTGGTTGATGAACTTCACCATTGTATTTTCCTAATATTCCACCCCTCCGTTTCGTCTATGTGGACGAAGATGATGAAGGCACTGGTTATGGAGTCTCTTTGGTTGTACAATAAATGTTTAATCATTTACAAGCCATGTTCCCTTTCATTTGATTTGCTTGAGGACTGATCTCTTGTGACAAGTAACTTGTAAGTTGCAACTGTACGTTGAAAGTTACAAAATGCAGTAACTATAAGAAAGAAAACAATCATTTAAACCAAGTAAAAAAAATTCTTCCAGAATTATGCAGCATCAGAACCAATCTTTAGTCGTTAACTCTACAAGTAAAACCTAGTGCTTGTAGATAATCACAATGTTGTTTACTTGATTGGCTTAGTTAAGAACCTTAACGTAACTTGATCCTTGGCTTCATCTTGCTTTGTTCTAAACATAGCAAATTCCAAAGCAACAACATTTTTATAACTTTCTTGATGAACAAGAAACCGCACAAACTTATCTCAACCAAAATCTGTTATAAATTCTTTTTTTAGTATGTACCCGAAACATTTGAGAAACCATCTGAAGGCAGGTAAAAGGACTTCCGGAACAACAGGCCTAAGAGATTGACGCAGCTCGCTGTCTCGAAAAGTCCGTTGGCACTATCTTTGGTGAAGCTCTTTGAACTGAGAATTGAAAGTCTTGAATCTGTCTATTACTGATGTTCTTGATATATTCGAGTTCTCTACCTGACCGCTCCTGCTCGACTGAACCGTTAGACAGAAAATACTCTTTAGGTGTTTTAGAGGATAGTCCTGAAATGCTTTAGTAAACCTTTGCCCAAGAAACTCTCTTGTACTGATTTGCGTGTTGTTTTACGAACTTCGATGTATTTTATCCCAATCATCCCCCAACAAATCCTTTGCCTCTGACCTGTGAAAATGCAAGTCTTATTCACTTAAGTATTTAACTCGCATATTTTTACAGGAAGAAAATTTAGTTCAGCATCAATATACTGTGTTTAGTTGTATTTGCTAATAACCTATTTTACTATGAAATTTGATTCTAAAAATTATTAGTTGTAAAAGTGATATGATGTTAATTAATACCACCTAGACTCATCACCACATGCCGTAAATAATCTAGTTTGGTACGATTTTACATACGGAAAAAGGTCTAGATCTCCTCAAAACCATATGACTTCTTACGAGTAACCGAGGATTGAACAATCTCTTTGATTTGAATTTCATGAGAGTAAAAGGCCTATTTTTTCTCTTTGATTTATTATTGTAGACCCGAGGATTGAACAAATGAAGAGAACATAGTCAAGGTTATATAGCTGATGATGGGGATTCCGATATTTATGGAGAGCCTTTGGTCTTTTCT